TTGCATGACATGTGACATCATTCGATTTAAGGATTAAATTTATTTTAATTTATTAAAAGTATAATTAAATTGAGAGAATATATAAATAATAATTATCAAATCTGTGATTATATCAAAATATTTAATTGTTGTTAACAGTAGTTAACTCGAGGTAATCATATCTTAATTGAATAAAAAAGAAAGTGACTATATATTAACTAAATAAAAATGAAAGTAATCATATCTTATTTTTTTAAAATTAATGACTAAAAGTAGACAAAACACAAACATAAGTGATCATCCATGAAATTAACCCTATTTATGAATAAATTTAATAAACAAATGATTTATTATTTAAACTTGAAATTTTTCTTAGAGTGATAATTAATGTTGATATATTTTTAGATAAAATCACTTGTATCTTATCAATTGATCGATTAATTCATAGTATATCATATTAAATATATGATATCAAGTCAAATTTTTTTTTATCAATTTGATAAGTTTTCTAAGATTGAGTATCAATATGAGATTAAGGAGTTTAAGTACGAATTTAAGAAAATTATGAAATTCGTATACCCAAAAATATATATCCCAAGCCCTTTACAATCTTAATGTTTGAATTTAATTTTGTGTAAATTATGCGATTTTTTATTTTATTTTTTAGAGCTTAAATTTCATCATGTATTGGTCTTATAATGATTAATTAATACATGATTAGTTAGTACAATAGTGAGTATTTGAAATAAAAAAAAAATCAGTCTATACATGTTGTAGATCAGATTTTGTTTTCAATCACTATATTATAATTAATTTTTTTATAATAAAAAGTTCACGTTTGAATTCTTTTAGGGTATAAGAAATTTATCTTTTAAAATCATATCAGTATTTTAGCAAAAAATAGTTAACTGAATTATATTTTGGATTAAATACATAACATTATAAGAGTAAAGAAATAAATAACGTCTAATTAAAATATAAACTCAAAATTTAAATTTATTATATTTACAGTAGAGGGACCAAAATTTTTAATTTCACCTATAATATTCCACTTTCATTCCTGTTGTTTTGTTGTGTCTAGCGGATCCGGAAAATTATCACGTGCGGCAGTCTTAATATACTGTTAAAAAAATGTATTATCAGTTTTTTTATTATTTAAATAAAAAACCGATAAAATTTTACCAGAAATATTATTATTTCTACCAGTTTTATTATTATTTGGTACTTTACCGATTTTGTTATTTTTTCTACCGATTTTGTTATTGTTAGGCACTTTACCAAAAATATTAAAAAATATTAATATTTTATATTAAAATAATAATATTTTAAGTAATTTTTTATTTATTTTATTATTTAAATAATAACAAAACTAATAGTATTTTTTTAACTGTTTGTTAAGAGTGTTTTGTAAAACTTTCTAGCGGATGTTTTACGCTTGTAGGGTAAAACAAGTAACCGACACTTGTTTAAAAACTGAAATTACCCGTATATCCTTGTACTTCGTTCAAGCGAAACCACCAAATTTTAGTTCAAAATTATTATTTGACATATTTTTTTAAATAATTGATGTAATAACGGATATAATTTATTTACATTTTTTAAATTTATTAACAATAAATGTACATATTATAAACATAATTGTATGATCTCATGACTTTTAAAAATAATAATATTTATTTATTTTATTAGGACCTCTCGGTGAGTTACTTGACATATTATTAAAAATAATTTTATAAACTATTAAAATAACGATATATATAAATATTATATTTATTTACTTTAATGGTTTTAAAAGTATTTAAACATAATTATTATAACCTTAAGACCATTTATAAAAAATCTACTAATGATATAAAGAATAAACTATTAGTATAACTACTTAGTTGTTATATATATATATATATATATATATTATTTTGATCATCAATTTGAAAATTTATCAATTAGATCACATAATTATTTAAATGTGTCAATCAAATCACCGGTCGTGATAATTTCAATTCACTTTAATAAATTTAATCATCTAATCAAATGATAAAACGTGTCACAATTTGATTAGAGAGTTTTTTCTTCTTATTTTTAATTTATTTAGCGTGATATTTTTTCTCATAAAAATTGGCACACGTCATGCTTGTCTTAAGTATAAAAGAAGTGTCCAAACTATAACGTTTTTCACGAATGTGTGCTTAAACTATTCTTTAAATCATTCAGGTGTCTAACGTTATAAATTATCACTTTAGGTATTTCAGCCATAACAATTGTTATAAAACCTCATTAAATGACATGTATCACAATCTTAGAATTTTGAAATTTTTATTTTTCTCAAAAAATATTAAAAAAACCTTTTCCCCAACCAACGTCTCACCCCCTCTCTTTCCCATGCTTTTTCCATGGTTTTCCTCTCTATATTTTCATTAAACGATTGACCAAATGGTCAAATTATTGGTTGTCACATTCAGTTAAATAGTCGATCATCGCGGTCGACCAAAACAATTTAAGGGATTGAGTATTTGGAATTTTAGGGATTAAAGATTGAAATGTACAGATTTATGATTTTTGGTTTTGAGATGATATCAAGGGTTGTGACAATCGATCAGTGGATGGTCGGTCACATTTTTTTTACATTTTAGAAAAAAATAAAGTTTTTCCGAAAATAAAATATTTCAAAGTTTTTAAATAAATTTCCAAAATTACCAAATTATGACACCTGTCACTACACGTATCACTTAATGGATTTTTTTAACTGCCTTTAAAATCGAGACACCTAAAGTAGTAGGTACCTAAATGATTAAAAAAATATTTTAAACATTAATTTGTGAAAAACATTATATTTGACCACTTATTTTATATTTGAGCCATCATGTTTTAATTGAAAGAAAAATGAGTAAAAAACATAACAACAAAAACAAAACAAAACAAAACAGCTACACATAATATCGAACATCCAATTGATTTCAGTTTAAATAAAGAATTTATTCCACTATTAAAAAAGATATTTGAAATAGAAATTGAAGTTTTTTCATTGCATATAATTAAAATTGGAACCGAACAATAAAATTTATCAAAGTTATTACAACTAGATGCAGTGACAGATCTATTTTTTTTAAGATGGAAAACATATGTTAATAACATAAAATGTTTAAATGAGATATATAACGATCAAGAAGAACATCAATTTTACCCTCAATTCATTAGTAAACTTGGTTGTAATTTTTCTACATAAATGGTTTATAGATTATATAGTGTTATTTTATTAAGTCCTTTAATTATTAAAAATTATAAAATATTCCCCTAATTATTCATTATGTTCCAAAATCATAATTTTTCGTTAAAAATGGTGATGTCTAAGTTAGGCGTTAGTGTGATGACTGATATATGATAGTCGCTTGAGATTTCGGGATCATATTTTATCAAAATCACAATCAGTAAGTTAACGTTCCGCTCAGAATACCATCATTTTTTAACGAAAAAACGAGTTTGAAACATAATGAATAGTCAGATGACATTTTTATAACTTTTAATAGTCAATATACTCAATAAAGTAATACTCTATAACCGAAGAATAATTTTGTAACTTTTAATAATATAAAAACTACATAAAACAATATCTTATAATCTAGAGGCTTAAAAAATAATACTCTATAATTTAGAGATTATTTGTGATTTTATTTTTTTATTTTTTATAATCTCTATATAAAAATTATCATCTTTTATATCCCTTGCCCGGTTGCCCCCTTGTTCTTGGTTATTACCGGATTCGGTTCCCATGCTTCTCATTTAAAACATTTTAAGAAGACAGTTGTACACATGGTTGTGTTGTGCAAGCATCTGATTGGCGGTTGGGATACGACAATTCAAACTAGTCTTTATCTTAATGCCTTCCACTAGTTTTCATGATGTGCCGTGTTTGGATGTGAGGGACCTCACTTTTCAACTTAAATTCCTCACATTCTCTTTTTTCACTGTTTATCCAAACAATACCCATGAAAAGTAGGACTTTGTGATTACCAAGAAAATTCATAATATTAACAAACTTAATCCCCTAAGAGAAGGCATAAACTTTATTTACTTTTGTTAATAGAAAACAATTTCAATTCCTTTTAATTTCTGAAAATGGTAAAAATGTTTCTAAAAATATGTAATTAAAAAGTTAAAGTAATAATAAGATTTTATTTTCATACTTTAAAAATTACTAATTTAATTCTATCTCAATAAAAAGTACGTCTTTATCTATCACTCGAACTAGAATTAAATATTCGATATCTTCAAAAATAAAAAAATAATGTTTTCAAAAATCAATTTATGAGTTAATTTTAAAAGAAAAATTAGTATAAAACTAAAATTTTGGTTTATAAATAATAGTAATACTTTGTTTATTTTTTTTTTGAGTTTCTATATGAATTTTGAATAGTAAGTATGAATTATAATTTAAATATTTTATGATATGTTTTTAACAAAAACAATGAAAGTAACTTATATCTTAATTAATAGTTTGTGTATATTATTTACTTTAAAGTTTTAATAATTGGATTTTAATTCACACTTTTTTTAAATTTAGGAGAATAAAAATAAAAAAGTTATGATTTTATAAAAATCAAAATATAATTTTTTTTAATTTTATATTACATAGTAGTATTTGTTCTATATATTCTTAACCATTTAATAACGAATGTTCAATTACCCTGTTGTAATCGATGGTGCTCGAATCTATGACCTCTAGAAACAATAATGATTTTTTTAACCATTGAGATAAATTAATTTTTACAAATCAAAATATATCTAATTTTATTAAAAAAACAAAAATATTTTAAACAGAATGGGATTATTACAATAAATATGTAATAGTAATATTTTAGAGAATATATATTTTATACAAAAAAATTAAATAAACGTACTTCTATCTATTACATTATGTTTATTTTTTTTTTGATTTTATGCAAATTTATTTTAAGCAAAAAATAAACCAGAAATAAATAAAAAATAAAAAAGCGGCTGCCGCGTACACCAAAGACCAGAGAGAGTACTTCTCTTTCTCCCCTTTCTCTGTGCTATCAAATTCCAGCTAATGAGATCGCACCCAAATACAAACAAAACAAAGAATCTCAACGCGGAAACCCTAAATCAACATTAAAATTCTCGAGAGATCCTTGTCTTCGAATCGCGACCCCTTTCGAAAATCAAACCGTTTGGAGTTCCGGTTAGGTGTTCAGGCTCGTGATCGAGTTTTGGTCGAAATTAGGGAAAAAGTCGTCTTTCCTTTGCTGGGCTTTAAGGTGTCGTGGAAAATGGTTGGGAGAAACCTTTGGCCTTGGAATAAAAGAAAATTACGTTTTCGAGCTTGGTAATTACTTTTTTTGGGGGGGGTGAGATTTACCCTTTTTTATTTGAATTTTTCTCGTTGAATGATTTCATTAGGGAGTAACGATGCGAGGAAGGGGCTAGGGTTAGAGTTTGGTGGAAGAAAAATGGAAGAGGCTGAGCTTGAGGAAGGAGAGGCTTGCTCCTATAATAACATTAACGATGATTATGATGCGTCCACTGATCCCAAGGCTGATTTATCTTCTCTCGCTTACATAGTAAGAACATTTGGCTCTTTTCCCCTTAACTGATTAGCTTAGCTTAGATTACCTTAGCTTTCCTTGTTGAATTATATTGTGTTGACTTTTTTTTTCGTTGGGTTGTAGTTTCGAAGTTTAAGGTGGTTATGCTGATTAATTGTAATGTTGGATATTTTAACTTCAATTTAAACGCCTTTACTGCTTAATTGTGTTGCTTTTAGAAATATAATATATGAACTGGAATACTGGCATTTTAGTTTTTTATTATAATCTTGGGAGTATTATTTGGTACTCTTGACTGTTGTACTGGGGATTTTGTAATTGGAAGTAGGAAGAGTAAGATTCAAGCACATTCATTAGCATATGGAGTTACTAGTGCTTCTAGAGGATTAGCCCCTAACTCTACAATGCAGTACTTTATGTTTTATCACTTGTGACTTGTCTGATGCTTGTTCTTAGTTCCTTCCATTTGTTTTGTTATCATTTAGTGATATACTGATACGTGGTTACTGTAATGTGCTTGAAGGATGAGAAAATTCAACATGTTTTGGGACATCTTCAAAAAGATTTTGAAGGTGGAGTTTCTGCAGAGAATCTGGGTAAGTCAAAACAGTAAGAGAATCATGGTTCTTATGACGTCAAGAGTAACCATAAATTGGAGTTTATAAATCTAAATTGATGGTTTTGGGATTTTTGACATCGCCGCAGGGGCAAAGTTTGGTGGTTATGGATCATTCTTACCGACTTATACACGTTCACCTAGCTGGCCTCATCCAAAGAGCCCATCAAGTCAGGGCTGCAATGCATCCAGATCTCCAAAAAGCATGGCATTGGAGGTAAGATTTTTTCTCAAATTTGTCTCATCCCCCCCCCCACCCATGAAGTATAGTTTACTTCATGTGAGTGAGGAATCTTTCTATCTTTGTTTTATTATATAGGATGTCCATCATAACTCGACGTATTGGGCAAGTGGTTCACAGACACGGAATGCTGGACCACCACCTATAAATTTTGGAACCCTCCCTGCTTTGAAGGCGTCGTCTGCGAATGATTCAATTGAACAAGTGGTCAGCATAACACCTGGTGGTGCTGATGAGCTTGCCTCTAGGTGCGAACCTGCAAACAAGAAAGCTGCCAATATGCCAGACCAGAAAATATTGAAGGTGCGAATCAAAGTGGGGTCAGACAACTTATCCACAAAAAAGAATGCTGCAATCTACAGTGGTCTTGGCCTTGATGTCTCACCATCTTCCTCCTTAGATGAGAGCCCTTCAGGAAGTAAAGGGATGTATCAAGAGACTCAAGGGCCATTGTTTGAATCTCCAACCAGTATTCTTCGAGTAAATCCTTCATCTACTATTTTGTTATTCGCCTCATAAATATAATGTTTCTTTTCTCATATCTTCTTGCATTTGATGCAGCTAAAATGATCTGAATATATATTTTTTCCTGAATTTTTTGAGCAGTTTATGACTTCCTTCCCAGTAGCTGGCGAGGCACTACTATCACCTCTCCCGGATCATCTTCTTAACTTGATTGTAAAGGAAAAAGTTCCAAAAGAGAATGAATCTGATTCTGGAAATGGTGATGAAATATTGTTGGAGGCAAGAAAGCGAAGTCGGTGGGGAAAAATGATTTTCCTGCAGAAAGGAAGAGTAACAATAACAGGGAAATGAGGAATGACATTGGTGCTGTGTCAAAGAAGGAAGTAGATATCGATGATGTAGCTGAGGAGTTGGTGGAGTCAAGATTTGTCCAAGAGATTGGCCTGGAGAGTCCAAGGGCTGGCTTAGCTCGAAAGGTTTTGGAGGAACAAAAGACAAGTCCTTTGGGTGATATTTCAGGTTGTGTGAAAAAATGTGGGTATAATAATGCAGAAAAAACTTATTATTCTGTCAAAGCTGACGCTAATACCCTCAAAGGTAGCAAAGCTCTAGATAGTGAAGTGGTAGATCCTCCCAATCAGGCCATCCAGAGAGTTACGCATGAGCAAGCCAATATGAAGTTGCCTTCTGCAAGGGAGCATGCCTCGTCTGGTGGAAAAAGAAAATCGAAAGGTAGTCACAGTAATGGTGGTTTAGATGCCGAGGGAGCAAAAGAAAGCTCGAGGGTGGGTTCGTCTTTGTTGCCGAATAATAAGCAGACTGTTTATGTGAACAGTGATACTAACAAAAAGGAAATAGGGGGCAAAAAACTTGAGAGTTCATTTCAAAAGGCTGAAGATATGTATAGAGATGTCTTTGGAGATATCGGAGAATCAGAACAAGAAGAGAACCAAGCAAATTCTTTGGAAATTCTTTCTAAAGATCGGCCGAAGATAGCTGATAAGATTGAAAAAAGCACATCGGCCATAAACAATGGACGTGGTGATAGACTAAGTGGTAAGAAAATTGAGGGTGTAAGTGTATTTGCAACTGGATCGTGCCCCAGAGCAACTATGGGTGCACATTCTAACTCTGCTGATAAGAATGTTTCTGGAACTTCCCTTGCAACTGCTTCTCCTGTATTGATAAAAGAAAATTGGGTTTGTTGTGATAAATGCCAAAAGTGGCGCCTTCTCCCAATAATCATAAACCCGTTTGACTTACCTGAGAAGTGGTTGTGCAGCATGCTTAACTGGCTGTAAGTTCTTTATCATCACCCCTTCTAATTTTTTTTTTGAATGTTATTAGTGGCTGTAAAATTTTTATTAGATTGAACATGAACCACATATGTTGATAGGTTAAACTTTGTGACAAATCATGGCAAGAGATCTCTTCTTCCTAGCTAAAATCTTCAAAACTGTTTGTCATGTAAATGTTTAGGCCTGCAATGAATAGCTGCAGTGTTGAGGAGGAAGAAACTACAAAAGCTGTTTTTGCATTGTATCATGTTCCTGCTGTAGAGAGTCAAACTAATCTGCAAAGTAATCCTGTCAATATCATGCCTATATCAGCCTCATCTGATGCCCTGCAAGCTGACCAACACCAACTAAGGCTAGGTTCACATTCCATGCTCCCTGGTGGATGGAAGAAACATGCTTTAAAGGAAATATCAAATGCAACAGATAAAGATGGGCCGATTTTTATGAAGAACATGCAGTTATCAGTCCAATCTGGAAGCCTGACTGATGTGTCTCGATCTCCTGTTGTTGGGGAGCCAGCTCTAAAGCCTCTAATTAAATGTGATTTACCTGTTGAGAAACACAAAATTAATCAGAATGAGAAGCATAAATTGTCTGAACACAGTTGTGATGGAGGTATTCTTTTTAAGCTGATGCTTATTGTACTTAAACTTCTTTTTAAGCTGATACTTATTGTTCTTAAAAATGCAAATAGGTGATACAAAAACTTCAAAGATGAAAGGCAAAAGGATCCCTGATCAAGATTCTTTAAGGGCCTCCAAGAAAATTAAGGGTGAAACTTTGCATCTTGCTGACGAAGATTGGATGTTTGACCATGCTGGCAAAGTTGGGCCTAGCACATTGGAGGGAAAGGATCAGCCTAAACACAATCAACTTTTTTCTTATAAGGATTCAAAGTCTGATAAGGACGGGCAACAGGTCCCTGACAAAAGACTAAAGGATAAAGTTCAGGTTTCCTTAACTGATGGTCCATTGGATCCAATGAATTGTGATGGTGTGGAAGCTTCAAGAAAGAGGAAAGATGATGAACGTGCGAGTAATCCCCTCCAGGATAACAGCATTTTTGTGAAGGAAGAGTTCTGTGAGAATGAAAACAGGAGGGAAAAGAAGGCCAGGGTATCCAAATCTGGAGGGAAGGATTCTTCTGCTACTAAAAGCAGTGGGAAACTAGAGAAAAATAGTAAACATAAACAGAAGCACCTAAGTGGGCAAGATCTAGGTAGTTCTCTGTCTCAACGGGACTTAGATGGTAAGGATTCATTGAAAACAATGAAAAGGGATTCGGGATCTGCCCAACCTTCTTTAGCTTCTACCTCAAGCTCATCTAAGGTTTCTTGTTCAAATAAATCAAAACCTGGCTTCCATGAAACAAAAGGCTCATCAGTAGAATCAGTTTCCTCATCTCCCATGAGAATTCCTAATCTTGATAAACTTCCATTGACAAGGAACGTTGCAGGGAAAGATGAGTACTGTGATACTGACCTTTTTGCTTTAGATTGTCCTAGAAGATGTTCAGATGGTGAAGATAATGGTAAGAATGACAAGTCAGGGACAGTAAGGAAGGAAAATACTTCAGCTGCAGCACGACTTGATAGTCAGGATAAGGATGGTGATCAATTAGGTAGTAGTAAAGCTAAGGCACCAATTAAACCTTCCCCTGATACCGGAAAATGGCAGTTTGTGAATGGCGCTGATGATTATTTAGGCCAAGAGGTCCAATTTTCTGGTAAATCAACGACAATAAATGAACACCAGGATGAGGAAGACTATGGCACTGCCAATGTCTCTCATCCAAGAAAATCAGGCAAAGGGTCTTCACGGTCAAAGGACAAGAGTTGTAATTTTAAATCTGGTTTTGTTGATGTACAACAAGATCATGTGCCTTCATATGACATGAAACCTAGGGACTGTAGAAATCAATTTCTGGAGAGCACTGGAGTGAAACCTAATGAAATTGAGAAAAGATTTGTCGAAAATAAAGAACCTTTGGGGAAATTGTCTGGTGAGATTGGTAAAAGAGAGAATCAATCAAATGGTCGGTCAGATGCTAAACTGCTTGCCACTGGAGGTCAAGAAGAAGAATATACAAAGAGGTTTCACTCTAAAAACGCTGATCATGCAGAAATTGCTTCTGAGAGAGGGAAATCACTATCACTACCACCCTCTGGAGGAACTCAAAATGAGATGCTGACTCGTCATCCCAATGCCCTTTCTGGGTCCCAAAAGGGAAATGGATCTGGTGGGTCTCAAGCTCATGATGCACTCAAGGTACAGAGACAAATAAAGAAAGCTGATTGTCAAAGTGGGAGTCAGCAGAATAATTCTAGACATACTACAGCAGGTGGACGTATCGGGGATGTTGGTGCCCCTAGTCCAATGAGAAAGGATTCCTCAAGTCAGGCAGCTACCAATGCCTTGAAGGAGGCTAAAGATCTAAAGCACCTGGCTGATCGTATGAAGGTTTTTCCTTGTTCTCTTGATCTTGTTGTATTTTGTTTTTCCCCTAGCCTCTAGCATTTTTTTATAACTTCTGAACATTCCCTCAGAATTCTGGATCAAATGCGGAGAGCACAGCACTTTACTTCCAGGCAGCACTGAAGTTTCTTCATAGTGCTTCTCTACTAGAATCTTGCAACAATGAGAGTATCAAACATGTGGAAATTTATAGTAGCACTGCAAAACTATGCGAGTAAGTAAAATATTATTTGGTGCTCTAGTTGGTATTATCTTGCTTTTGTAAACCTATGTTGTTATACATTTCTTGGAGCTTGATCTTGTATTAGTTGAAAAAATTCCTGTAACATGGAAATCTTCTGTTATTGCATTTTATTTGGGATGGTTTGTTTTTTGTGGTACCTGATTTTATTAATGTTTGTTTACCAATCAATATTTAGGTTTTGTGCCCATGAATATGAGAGATTGAAGGAAATGGCTGCTGCTTCTTTGGCCTACAAGTGTATGGAGGTGGCTTATATGAGAGTTATCAATTCCTGTCATGCCAATGCTAGTAGAGATCGGCATGAGTTGCAGGCAGCTTTACAAATGATTCCTCCTGGTAATTCAAAGAACAATCATCATACTGGCTGAAACCCTTCCTGTTGGTCTCTGTAGTATATAAAATTAAATTATTTTTACTGGTCCTTCCACCGCTCAGTGATCGGGCACAGAGTCAATCATCTCTGGTTGCTTTATTTGTGAAAAGACCCTTGCACATTAGACGATTGCATGTTAGAAGCATAGCTCATGTTAGAAGCATAGCTGAAACTAAATGTACTGCATGGATGGTTAGATTACTTTTAGAGACTGTGAATTTTTTATTTGGCATCTTGATATCTGAGAATCTTCAGGAGTGCCCATCTGTTATTCATGTTGTTTTGGGTTGTCTTTCATTCACACAAACATCTATATTTATTCTTCTGTTTTAGGTGGAGGACATGAGCCTGTAAATCATCAGTGTTCTAATTTGCATTTGACGTGCAACTTTTACTAGATTTTGCAAAATGGAGATCGGCCTTGTTGGTATGCATGCATTCAAATAGATATTTTCTAGTTTGCCTGCTCATCAGTCTCTCTGTGTCCTGCAGGCCACAGCTTTTTAATCACCATTTTTATTTATTATTTTCTTTGTAGACAGGAGATTCTTTATGACTAATGTTAGTTAATACCCCATTTATTGGGGCAAACTGAGTTTATTTTAACTTCTTTTCTTGACATCGGTGGTTGTTTCATATCAGGTGAGTCTCTTGCTTCTGATGTTGATAACAACCAACCAACATCAGCAGACAAGGCTGCTTTTCCAAAAGGTGTTAGTTCTTCCCAGATTGCCAAAAGTTATGTTATTTCTTCTCGAAACCGTCCTAACTTTGTTCGGTTGCTGAATTTTGTAAGTCTAACTTTCCTTTTATATAATTTTGAAAGTCTAATTCATGTATTTTTACATAGCATAGGAGGTAAAGCATTCTTCAACACATCCTCCCCTCCCTCCTCCCAAACCGACAAAGCTAATATACACCTTTATCAGTAAAACTAATTTTCTTTTTGTCCTAATGCCCTATAAGCTGTTCTGGCGTTCTCTCAACATTTTATCTCCCTATGCCTTGACTTAAAGGCTTCTGGTTGCTCTATGTTCAAAATTGTTCGTGTCCTAGCAGCTTTATACATTTAAACAGACTTTTGTGGTTATTCAATCAACTTCATGTATTATCTTTCTTCTTTGGATAAATTATTATTATTCTTATTATTATTATTATTATTATTATTATTATGTGTAATATTTCATGTTATTGCGTGCTCTTTATTGTGGTACTTGGGTTTAGAGACTTAACTAAATTCAAATGTAATGATTTGCAGACACAGGATGTAAATCATGCAATGGAAGCTTCAAGGAAATCACGAGCTACTCTTGCGGCTGCCAGTTCAAGTTTGGAAGGGGCTAAAAGTGGGGAGGCTATATCATCTGTGAAGAAAGCTCTTGATTTTAGCTTCCAAGATGTAGAGGGAGTGCTACGTTTGATACGAGTGGCAATGGAAGCTATTAGCCACTAAGGAAAAATCTGGTCGGTAAGGATGGTTGTGTACTGGCAGGAAATTTTGTTTTGATGGTTTATCCTAGGCTATGAAGATCTAGATCTGACAAAGAAGAGGGGTGGGCAACTTCTTCCTGCTTTGATCTTGAACACTTTCCAAGCTTGCAAGGGCTTTTTTAACACTCACTGTACATGTGTGCTATACAAGACAAATCTGGGATTTTCAGTACATTTTTTCACAAGCTTCAACTGCTTTCTGACATGGAACAAGCTTTAATTTCCTTCTTGAGATGGTATTTAGGATACAGGATTAATAAGGTTTATATGCAAGATCGATCTAAGCTGTATAAATTATACTAAAAAAGAAGTGTTTGAAGAAATAATTGTGTAAATATGGAGATGACAATTGTAGATTGAGGTGGATTGGTAGAATTTTGTGCTCATTGTTCCCCAACGGCTGTTTTAGTTCACCTGACATAAATTTATCCATGCTATAATAGTTAGAGACCTATTTAGCACAATACTGGAATATGCAGCAGCGCTTGTTTTCTCAGTTCAGACACTATGAAGCAGAGCATTGTAGTTGGCAGTCGCAGGTTTGCTACGCTTGGATTCATTTCCTTTTACCTTGTCCTATTCCATTTCCATTTATCTGTTTTAGGTCTCACCTTTGTTATTCGTATTTGTGCAGGTCAGCTGTTGCAGTCTGTCATTGTATATACTTGTGATTGGGAGAAAATATATGGGGAAAAATTGGTGGTTTTAAAGGTTGGTATGTTTTTGTTTGTGATTGCTTAATATTTGCTTTGGCCTACCATTGTTTCCAACGTTCTTGTTTTGTTTCTGTATATGTTTTTATGTACCATAAACATAATTTTTTTTGTAGGTGTCTGTGGATTGTAGCAAGCATTTTTGTCCGTGGGAGATCATTCTATCATGTTAAAGGTGGCCTTCTTGATGCTGATAGGTAAAACTCTTTCACTGGTCGTTATTGTTCTAATGCTCATTTTCTTGGCATTTAAAATTTGAAAAATATGATATCTTGTTTGTAGAATGGACTGCTTTGAATCTATTTGTTAAGCATTTAGGCACGTTGACGAATGCTAAACATACAATATTATTTGGTTTCAGGTTGAATAAGCCGCGCAGTTGCATAAGAAGCAAGCTGGTTGTGGATCAAAACATTGTAGCAAAATGGGGACTTAACCTTACCTTTATTTCATTGCAAACTATCTACGCATCTCCAGGTGTCGTTTCTATAACAAAATTTTGAACTTCTCACAGCTTTTCTTCTGTGTATATAGCAATGACATCTGTTTCAGCTATTTGTCAATAAAACTGGGGTTTTTTTTATTATTGTTTTTTGGATTCAAAGTAGAATGAAATTGGAGTTAGGTGGGATTTCCAGCTCATTCGGCTCCTATACTCGCATGTAACAGCCGAATTTGCAGGCCTTGGACAAGGTTTTAGAAAAGGAAAAAAAAATTACCATCATCTTTGGGCGGTCATTTTGCCATGGATGGGAAAAAATTGAACTAATTAAAGTTACCACTATCGTTCAAAATTTATTTGAAATGTCATTAAACTAAAATAAGTAATCTTTTATCAAAGATTCCACAGATAATTTAAGTGGCTAAACAATGTGATTTAAATTTATTCAAAACTAAACTTACAAGGAATTAAACAAATAAAAAAAACAACCAAATGGTTTAATTAAAGAAATAATTTTATAATTTAAAACTCGATTCGAAATCCGAGTCAAAAATTTAAATTACTCAGATAATTTAAAATAATCAATTATTTTCAAATCGAAGTTTAATCCTTCCTAATTGTGCCTATAAGCACACCGGTTGAATATTCCGTTTATCACATCTTGTTATGATTTTAATACAAAACAAAAGTCCCATTTGAGGTGAAAATTTATTGGGAAACAAAGGCCACTCGTATCGTACAGAAAATCTGAAGTGAAATACTAATCAAATTTTAATCCTTGTAATGAACTTTTAACTTTACATAAAACTAATCCCACAAATGAAAAAAGAAGGCTTTCCTTTTTGAATATCCATCCACCACCCTCAACATATCACTTAAACAAATCCCATTTGTTATGTTCCATTCTCGAAAAGACACCGACCAAATTTTAGGCCAAATACCTAAACGTGTTAGGATTCTCCTTGTCTCTCTCCAGGTAGTCTCTTGTGATGAGGTCCTCCATCCTCTTCTTGATGGCTTTAATATCAGGCTGCAAAACCCGACTCACATCCACGTCTTGATCAATCTACTATTAGAATGTGACCATATAGATAAACAGGGTTATATAGCATATATTAATACCTTGAACATGCGACTCAACTGCTCCACACATTCTGAAACTAATTGTTGGTGGCCTAAAACCTTTCTACTCTTCATTATGCGCACAATTGCAGCATCGATAGCATAACGACGATCTTTATCCACATCTTCAACAACTTTCTTCCTTTCATCCACCGGAGGGAGGGGAATCTACATAGGATAATATACAAAGTTGAGATCTTCTCGTACTAATAGATGCTAATGGCAATAATACTATAAAAGAAAGGAATTGCAAGGCAGTCACGGGCCTTAATCCTCCTCACTTGTCGGTGAACTTGGAGTTGAACTCAAAGTAGTCACTCTGGGAGATGGTTTTTGTGTTTGTCTCTTTACTTAGAATCTTATACTTGGCACATGACAGAGAATGTAGCAATCTAACCAAGTCATCATGGGTCAAATTCAACTGGGCCATAATCTCTGAATAGCTCAGCCGATCAGAAGAATTGAAGAGCAGAAGGACGGCAGCCTGTTTACATAGGCAACAGGAAATCAGATTCTACCATTGAAGTTGAAATTCAGATACCACATCAAGAGACAGACATGAACCCAAACTACATTTTTTTTTCTAATTTAAATAGAGCAGAGTTCAAGAGTCTGTTTATTACCTGATATGTTGAAACAATCAGCTCGATGTTTTTTTTATCAAACTTGCCATTAATGTGGCAAGTACCCAGCGAGTATATCCATGTAAGCTTTCTGTGTTTTGTTTTTGTTTCATAAAATCCTTTGAAAATTTCCACACACTTCACCTGAAACAATGGTATTCCTAAATATAAATAAAACTTTCGAACACATAGTGGAGTAAGATATTTAGTTCGGTCATCATGCAAATAACATGTCCGAAGCCATTACCATCTCAGCAGGGAGATTAAGATCAAAAGATTTATAACTTGGCCAGAACCCAGTAGTAAGAACAGTAACTGTTAAATCTATCCCAGGATGTGCAGCAGCATTATTCCTAAGATAGTCCTCAAAGCTGGCTTGGTTTTCTCTTGCCAATGTCAGATCCGTGACCTGTTAGAAAGGCAAAAGCAAAACACAAGTTCCATCACAAATTTAAGAGGAAAAAACAAACCACACAAATACTGAACTCGAGAAATAAAGGCCAACTCACCATGCCCTCCATCTTTGAGGTGAACTGTCCACCGCATTGTTGCTTTAGCTTTGTCAGAATACTCCTTTCATGATCGTCATTAGCACTTCGATCAAAAAGTAATCGGCGAGCAAGCTTCTTCCTGTCAATGATCGCACACAGTAGACGTAGTATCAAAATAAGCAATAAGAAGTTCACTGTAACTGGTTTTCCTCCCTTTCCTGACAAGTGATATGAAACTGACAAAAAAAATTAATAGCCTCACCTGTAGAATTCTGCAAAGAGATCTTTATCACTAATATAGGCAAGCAGCTTAACTACCTACAGAAACCAAAAAGATATTTCAGAATCAATTCCAAATCGGCATAAATTTAACATAAAATGGAAAAGCTACCTTCTCAAGTGTTTCTTCAATGGCTTCATCACTTAATTTCTCGCTTCCACCCTTTTTGAGGATATTATCACAGAAAGTAGCCAAAAGCTCTGCACTTGAGCTGCCAGTAACAGTTTTGTTGCAGAATACTTCAAAAGCCTCTTTCAAGGCCTATGAACATTTCAACAAAACATGGGTCAGGGGAAATCATGGGATATGATCCTTAATAGACATTTAGGACTACAATTTAGAACACTAACCTTGTGGAAGAGAGTATGATTTTGAAAACAGTCGGTCACATATGCCATATACTTATCATGAAGCTCGATTATTTTCCTGATAAGGACCTGGTAATTGCATACAAATTCTTAACATCTATATTGATTTCAAGAGAATCAGTAGGCAATAAAAGTTGGGATTTTACCTGTTCCTGTGCACCTGAAGAACTTGAGGCCTGTGGTAATGAATGACTATTAGCACTTAAAACCAGAAACAGGCGAGTATTAGAAACAAAAATTATCATCTATTTTTCTCTCGATGGTGGGGAAATATTAGTCTGTAGTCGTAGGGATATGGTCCCCCTACCCCCCCCCCCCAAAAAAAAAGAGAGTTAACAAGGGAAAGTTGCAGTTGGCAAGTCAAAAGGGTACATAAATTTAGTACAGAAAAATCCTAACAAACAAATAATTTTATCCAGAAAAAACCTTCATGAATTAACTTCAGTACAGAAGAATATCAATAAATGTATTTAGAAATCATATTAGCAATCAGAGGACAACAACAAAACAAACCTGGCTATTTGCCGCATCTTCAACCTGTTGGACCAAGGCGTTACCTTCAGCAGTAATATGCTGAAAAAAAGGCACTCAGAAAGGTTCAGTAAAATCAAGGAATAACATAAGAATGACGGTCCTTTATCTTGCAGAATAGATTAAACAGAAATTCAGACCTGCTTGAATATACTGGCAACGGGATCCAAGCCTTTGGGTATTTTACAATAAAGCCTATACATTCGAGAAAGATCCTCCACCTAGAAAGTGTAAACAAGGTCAAATAAATATCTGATATATATTTTCTAAATCAAACAGCCAGAAGCTAAGCCTTGCTAGCAAAAAAATGATGTTGCACAATACCTTGTCATCTCTAAGCAAGGCCCTACATCCTGAATGCTCCTTTTCAAGTAGCCGATTTGCATACACGACCAACAACTCATGTTGCACTTTCTAGAAACAGAATAAACTGCTATTAATAAAGTGCTCTAGGAGTTACAGAATTGTCTTCTTAGGAACTCTATTTTATTCTTATTACAGTATTCCATGCCATTGAATATGTCAAAAATGTGGAATGTCCATTTAATACATATTCCACCTAAAGAGAATTCACAAAACTTCGATTGTAAAATCTTAGTGACAACTTTCACACATAAAGAAGTATTCATTTATGTCCCCTTCTTGTGGCAAACAATCAAAAAGATTTTCTCTAAACAAGAAAGTGCACCCCCTCAAACCAACGTAAGATCAGAGAAAGAGCTCATCATTAACATATAAATTTACAACAATTCAACTAACCTCTGACAACTTTGTCTCACTGCTTGAATGCAGGTAGTGGGACACTCTGTCCCTTTCCTTCTTCAGGCATTCTTCAGACTGCAATTAGCATTAAAATAAAAGCTATAAGAACCATCTGTGTTAATCAGGGCAAAAACCTATGGAAAACAAAAATGCAGGAAAGTTTTAGCACTTGCCTTCAACATGTAATCTGGACAAGAATCTTCCTCAATCCAGCTTGATGCTTTTCGTGAATAGTAAGCACCAGTATCCTGAAGCATGGCTCCTTCAAAATCATCCTCATAATGATCCATTTGTCCCATGCCAATCTCAACAAAAATATCTAAGACATTCTTCAGTAATGCTCTATCTATCTGCTCTCCCTCACGCTCTTTATCAATCTGATATGAAGTATCATTCCACTTAAATTTTATATTCAAAATGCGAATTAAATACAATTAACAATGACACAATGATGTAAACTTACAAGGGCAATTACAGCATCTCTGACTTTTTCATGCACTTCCATATATACCTGAAATGAGTAAAACATATAATACAAGTCAAAATCCAACTCATCATAGCAGAATCAGTATCACATAAAGGGGTCACTCGAAGAACTAATAACAAACCAGATCACGGAAGCACGTCAGTCCAACTTCATTGAGTGCGGGGAGTGATCTCCGGGCAATGAAGTAGCGATCAAGGTAATGGAAGAAACGTGATAGCCACCGGACCATTACTTTATGGTTGGCCCATCTCTTAACAAGCTCCCTCAGCATGAACTCATCATGCTTCTCTCTTAAAGACGGCAATACCTGGTTTTAGAAAAGGGGAAATTTGAGGGAGACAAAGCATAATTAGCACAGACAAGTAGAAAAAAAGTCTTCATATTCTATCGGGGAAAACTATTAAAACTAGAGTTTATCAAAGTATCCAACAACAGAAGCATAAAACTTAAAAACAATTACCAAAGAAACTTGTAAACTATAATA